TGCAGTGACGGAAAATCACCATCCCCAGCAGCACGGCGGGGGGGAGGGGGTGCCTGGGGGCCCCACACCGCCATTCCGCACCCAGTCCCTGCCCCGCATTTGGGGCTACACTCCCCCATCACCCCACCCTTGATCCCAGGGCAGCAGCTGGCAGAATATGGAGCCCAGGGACCCTGAGGCAGCCGTCGGGCCCTGGGGGTGACAGTCACGGTGAGTGCAGCGTCCACACGCGGCTGGAGAACCCCGCCCCAGGTCCCCTTCCAAGATGAGGGGGGTGTCCTGCTGCTAGAGACAGCCCCCCCATTGCACACCTCCCTCCTTGAAAAGATACCCACTTTGCAAAGATTACCCCCCCCAACCAGCCTGGGGAGTTGGAGGCCTCCACCTGCCCTCAGGGGGGCTGCTGGAGGGGGGCAACACATGCACAGGGGATGGGTGCCTATGTAGGCACATGTGTTTGCAACAGGGAGCCTCCAGCAAGGCAGGCCAGGATAGAGTTGATGACCACGGTGCAGCCCCTAAGACCAGGCCTGAGGGTGGGTCCCAGCCTTGGCACAGGAAGTAACGGGGGTCCCATGGCATGGAGAATGTGGGGGCACTGGAAGTTGCCCCCAGGTGGGTTGTGTGGGTGTCAGGAGAGGCCGCTGGGGGCATCTGTGGAGCAGAAGCTGCCTGAGAGGGGGTACAGGCCCTGGCGGCTGTGGTGGGATTTTGCCCCCTAGGAGAATTTGAATCCAAGCCCCAGGTTTGGATCTCCAATCTGAGGCTCCAGCGAGTCTCCTGAGTTGGGTCCCAGCCACTTCCCAAGCCCATTGCTCTGGCCCCATCTGGCTCCATCCAGGCTCAGGCTGGATTCAGGCCGAGGCAGGATGGGGGCACAAACACACACCCTTTGGTCCCAGTTCAAGGGGCACCTGAGAGTGTTTTGGCTGTGAAGAGGTCCGGCTGCATGTGTTTGGTGTGTCAGGTGCATGTGTATGTGTATGCCTGTGTGGGTGTTTGTGGGTGCATCCTCCTATCCCCCAAACATGTGCCCTGCTCTCTAAACCCCCCCGCGGATGTGCACATGTGTTGTGTAAGCCTCTGTCGTGTCATCATGTGTGTGGTGGTGTCCTACATGTTGCCCACACAGACTGCATGCACCAACATGAGTGGGTATCGAAGGTGGGTGTGTGTTATTTCCCCACGATTAGATCTAATGTGAATACACGATGATATCACTTGTCTACTTGTATATAATGATACATAACCACAACCACATAGCAAGGGGATATGATCATGCAGTCGTATTGTAGACACTCACACCAAATTCTATTTAAAATTATAACCATATAAATATGATACACACCAGTAACATATCTATCTATCTAGAGATGTGTATAGACAAAAATAACATTATGCATAGAATTATAACCACATCTAAATAGGATATCATTACGCAATTTTATCATCATTGTATAAAATGTGACCTACAATTATATCACATCTATAATTGTAAATATTATAACCACATATACATATAATTATGCGATTGTATCTCATACCATCAGCTAGTCCTTTAAACACAGCTATAACTGTAAATACAATGTGTAATGATAACATGTATATCATCGCGTATAATTATGAATATGATTACAGATATGTTATCATGTTTCATCGTATAGAATCCTATCCTATAGGACACAATCACATAAATGCATACATGCATCCTATATGATGTATGTGGTTTCTAGATAGAGATAGATATCTATATATACATGTATGTATGTGTATGTATATGTATTTTATATTGATATATATAAACACATACAT